TCCTTCAGATTGTGGTGCCCAATTCCGCCTTTCCCCTCAGATCAGGGTTGCCAAATCCGCCGTTTCCCCTCAGATCAGGGTTGCCAAGTCCGCCGTTTCCCCTCAGATCAGGGTTGCCAAATCCGCCGTTTCCCCTCAGATTAGGGTTGCCAAGTCCGCTGGTTCCCCTCAGATTAGGGTTGCCAAGTCCGCCGTTTCCCCTCAGATCAGGGTTGCCAAGTCCGCCGTTTCCCCTCAGATCAGGGTTGCCAAGTCCGCCGTTTCCCCTCAGATTAGGGTTGCCAAATCCGCCGTTTCCCCTCAGATAAGGGTTGCCAAATCCGCCGTTTCCCCTCAGATCAGGGTTGCCAAATCCGCCGTTTCCCCTCAGATCAGGGTTGCCAAATCCGCCGTTTCCCCTCAGATCAGGGTTGATGATGTTTAGAGTGAGTGTAAAATATCTGTTTCCAGTGTGGGAGTTGTGATGTTTGGGTTTGGGTCATTTGGGCTAGTTTGGTTACTCAGATCTGCTCTGAGATGTGATATTAACATCGGCTGGTTTGTGCGTCAGTCATGAAAGTTCAGCAGCAGCTGCAGAAACTCAAGAACGGCGTCTTCAGATTCCAGGAGCAGCTGATGGACGTCAAACCGTCTCCAGACGGTGAGCACAACACTGACCCTTTACCGCAGAACTATTGTGTTTAACGCTGCACATGCATTCATTTCTGTTGAATTTCAGTGATCGAGAAATTAAGAGAGACCATGAGCGATATTGAGAACTCCATCAATGCTTTCAAAGACACGCAACATCAGAGGTACGATGTCTGTTTCTGCTGAGATGTCCCGAGTGCATTGCTTCTCTCAAACCCTCGTCTGCTGCAGTTTTGAGGAGCTCCTGAAAGACGAGAGGAGCGTGTGGCAGGAGATCTGCGCCTTCGAGAGGAAGATGGACTCGTGGTGTGTGCCGGTGAGAGCAGACGGCGGTCCTCCTCGCTCAGAGAAGCCCTGCGACTGGAGGAGTCTCCCGGCCGAGGTGACGGCGCTGCAGACCTTCCTCCAGCAGACGGGAGGCCGAGACGGCGGCTGGGACGAGTTTGACCACCGCAGCTTCCTGAAGGTGTGGACCAAGCACAGAGGAAAGCCCTCGTACAGACACGAAGCACGGCTTTATCTGCCTGGGAAGACAGAGGAGGAGGTGAAGCGGCACGAGGACTGGTTTCTGGAGCTGCGCCGGCTACAGGAGGACAAGAGAGAGGTGACGAGCTTCTGCATTAAAGGGATAGCTCAGACAACAGTTAAAACTCTCTCAGTAACCCGTTTAATCACAAATCTTTTCCAGACATGAAAATATACAGATCATGTGTCGTTAGTCAGCTTTTGAAATAATCAATCATTTTTTTTTTTAACATTTCTTTGAAAAATGTTTTAATTGTGAGCGGTGGGATCATGTTTATACCGAATTAACATATTTCTGCAGTCATCAGAATTGTTATATATCTCAGCCCAGCTATTTTAAACTCCGTTTAGGATTACTATTACGCATAAAGACTCTTATACAACACACAGAGATAAAAGACAAAAAATACAACCATCAACATATTTCAAAATTGTTACTTTACTGTAACATGTATCATCAAATTGTTATATTAGTGCTACAACATCAATATTGTAACTTATTTGTAACATTTGAACTTTTAATTTAGTGCAATATTTTGTCATTGCAACATTTTAACAACTGCGACTGGATTTATCTGCAGACCTAAGTTCACTGTTATCTCAGCGGTCACTATTGTGACTGTTTACTCATTCTCTGACCACACTCAACAAAACTGAATATATGTGACCCTGGACCACAAAACCAGTCTTAAGTGTCAATTGTTCAAAATTAACATTTAACATTTATACATCAAAAAATAAATAAGCTTTCCATTGATGTATGGTTTGTTAGGATCGGACAATATTTGAAAATCTGGAATCTGAGGGAGCAAAAAAATCTAAATATTGAGAAAATCATCTTTAAAGTTGTTCAAATGAAGTTCTTAGCAATGCATATTACTAATCAAACATTAAGTTTTGATATATTTACGGTAGGAAACGTACAAAATATCTTCATGGAACATGATCTTTACTTAATATCCTAATGATTTTTGGCATAAAAGAGAAATGTATAATTGTGACCCATACAATGTATTGTTGGCTATTGCTACAAATATCCCCCAGCGACTTAACACTGCTTTTGTGCTGCAGGGACACATATATAACTGGTTTTGTGGCGTTCTGTCCTCCAGGCCATCTGTAAATGGCGAGCGTGTAAGCAGAGAGAGCGGGAGCTGCAGCGGGAGCAGCGTGACGCAGACGAGGAGCCGCAGGAGGACGAGGAGCAGGAGGAGCAGCGCAGGGAGGCGTCTGAGCGTCTGGAGGTCTGGAGGAGACGCAGAACACAGCAGAGAGATGAGGAGCGACAGCAGCGGCTCAGAGACCAGATCCTGCAGACGAGAAGAGCTAAAGAAGAGCGGCGGCGACAGCTGGAGCTCAAGCTGCTGGTGGAGGCGCACCTGCAGCAGAAGAAGGAGCAGGAGGAGCTGCGTGTGCTGGAGGAGGAGGCGCAGGAGCAGGCGGAGAGACAGGAGCGCCAGCGGCAGGCAGCTGAAGGCATCAGACGCTTTCAGGAGCGAGTGAGCCCAGCTCTGTGTGTTAGAGACTGAAGCTGGTGTTCACTCTGGTACTCAGTGACTCTCTCTCTCTCTCTCTCTCTCTCTCTCTCTCGTCAGGACTCTCGCCGCCTCGAGGAGAAGCTGCAGGAGAAACAGAGTAAAGAGCAGGAGCAGAGCGAGCGGCAGAGGACGCTAGATAAACTGAAGGACAAGGTTTGCTCAAGAGAAGTTAGAACTGTACAAAATATATTTAAAAATATAAAACTTGCCATATTTGCATAAAATTTTTCAAAATATATTTAGATAAACTTATTTTCCACCAGTTTGTTTTTTTTTGTCTATTTTTGAAAATGTATTTGAAAAATATTAATATATTTTATCAGAACATTTTTTCAAAACATATTTTGCCCTATATATTTCAATCTAATAAAATACTTAATTTGTTGTCTATAATGTATGAACATGTAAGATACAATACACACACACACACACACACACACACACACATATATATATATATACACTACCAGTCAAAAGTTTTAAAAGATTTTTTATGTTTTTTTTAAAGAAGTCTGTTCTGCTCAGCAAGCCTGCATTAATTTAAACCAAAATACAGCAAAAGCAGTAATATTGTGAAATATTTTCTTATTTAAAACAGCTATTTTCTATGTGAGTATCTGTTAAACTGTATTGTATTTCTGTGATGTGCAGCTGTATTTTCAGCATCATTACTCCAGTCTTCAGTGTCACATGATCTTCAGAAATCAGTATAATATGCTGATCTGCTGCTCGAGAAACATTTATTATTATTATCAATGTTGAACACAGCTGAGTAAATTTTTTCAGGATTCTTTGATGAACAGAAAGATCCAAAGATCAGCATTTATCTGAAATAACAAGCTTTTGTAACATTATACACTATTCCATTCAGAAGCTTAGAGTCGGTACAATTTTTTGGGGTGGAAAGAAATTATAGAAATTAACACTTTTATTTTAGCAAGGATGCTTTGATCAAAAGTGATGATAAAGAAATTTCTAATGTTACAAAAGATTTCTATTTCAGATAAATGCTGTTCTTCTGAACGTTCTATTCATCAAAGAAACCTGACAAAATGTAACCGTTTTCAACATTAATAATAATCAGAATTGTTACTTCAGCAGTAAATCAGCATATTAGACTGATTTCTGAAGTGTGTTGTTTGTGACTCTGTCCTCAGGTGGAGGTTCACATCAGCCGCGATCCGTCTAGACTCTGGAGGCTCACTAAAGTGTGGCAGGAGCGCACTAAAGAGATCGGGCCGTCGGGGCCCGGAGCCGGAGCCGGAGCCGGAGCTGTGCTTCACATCTTCCACAGGTACATGTTACTATCACTCAGAGCTCAGAGCGAGCCGGCGTGTGCTGTCAGATCATCGTGTGTGTGTGTGTGTTCTCCACAGAGCTGTTCCTGCATGGAGACAAGACTCATGAAACATCCACCGCTTCAGCTGGAAGAGTCTCAGAATGAACTGCAGTGTAAATGAAGTGTTAATGGAGGCATCAGTTTGATTAAACGGTTTTATACTAGTGATGTTACGTTCACCACGGAAGCTTCGACGCTTGTATCAAACACTGCACATTTCACACTGAAGCACTGTCCTGGAGCTTGACCTCGGGCTTCGTGGAAGACGAGACCTATTGAAGAGTTGCTAGAGAAAGACAGCCCAGATTGTGCTGTGTTAGTGATGCACCGATCATAGCTGATTCAGATTCAGTTTTGTGATCTATGAGAGAGTCATCAACTAAATTACAAAGTTTATTTCAGATAACGTATAATACAAACAACATCAGTGATCATCTTTGACAACATTTGCACTTACATCAGCAACGAGATAAACCTGGGTTTACGCTCACATAATAGAGTTAACGTGTCACTTGCGATCTTTATTTGTTAATTATCTGGAGATGCGTTACAATATTTACATAATATTGTTTCAAAATTAAATCTAACCCTTAGAATCTCTCCAGAAGGGTAAATACCATATAGCATTTTCTTTAGTTTTGGGCTGAACTGGAAATTGTAAACTGACTATATAATAAATAACCTTTCATAATAGTTTTAAGTCCAGAGCTGGAGTTACTGTGAAGCCCATGTTTAAGAGTAAAAGCACTGTAATCCAACACCTCCGCAGCTGCATCAAAGACATCCTTTAAAGAGCAAATACTTCTACAAAACCAATCCTCATAAAAAAGTGATTTATTTCTGTCTAGAGTATACTTATTATTCCATATTGAAGAATTATGTGGTGTAAACTTATGGGTGTGTGCTAATTTCCAAGCAAAACTTGTTGATGAAATGCAGATAATTTCAGCGGAAGTTTAGAAATATCGAAGTAAGGTTACCGCTGTAAACAAAGCCAAGCCGCTGCACACGAGCAGTTGAATGAGTTAGATTGTATAATTTCAGGATTTAAAGAAATGGTCTGACTTCAGCTTTGTGACACTATGCTACATTAAACATCTGCACGAAACACAGAAAGATCTATAATCTATAATCTATGATCTATAAGAGAATGATCAGAGATGGAGACGCAGATGCACGCTCTGCCAGCAGGTGGCGCTTATGGAACAGATACAGCGTTTCCTTGGTTACCGCTCTAAACCACACCAAGCTGCACTTATTTTGTAATAATATTTTCTTCCTATATTTCGAGCATCGTGAACAGTATTTAGCGTCATGAATTTTTCTTTATCACTGCCTCAGTCGATCCCGAAATCGTTTATTTTATACAATTTATTTATACAAATGAGTACAAAAATGGAGAAATGTAATGTATTTTACTGTTATTCTCGGGATGGGGTTGGCGACCACTGTATTACATTATAATGCATTCGTTTTTTTTGGGGGGGGGGGCAATATCGTAATGCAAAATGAAGCTCAAATGAACTTTGCCTACGAAATAACCGTGTAAGGACTGAGGCAGATTTACAATAGACAGATCACAGATTCATTTATTTTGCTGCCAGCACGCGCACACAAAAGACTGACTTTGACGATGACCATTATTTATATACAATACAATAAAACAAAGCCTCGGCTGCAGAAGCTGCACTTTAGAAGGACCACTAGATGGCCACAGCATGAACCGCTTCGAGTAATGAGCTTTTGTCCGATACACTTGTGCTGACAGCTGCGCGGGTTCAGAACGCTTCTCTCTCTTCGCCATTACTGTTGTATACATTACACCGCGTCAGTTTGTGATTCAGTGAGTACTGAGAAGCAGAGCAGCAGCTGCGCGCATAGTGTGCGGGACTCTTATTTTGCCGCGTGTTCGTGCAGCGGAAGCGGAAGCTGTGTCCGAAATCACCCCCTATACCCTCATTCACTATTCCCTACATTAGGTCACTGCTTCAGTTCACTAGAAGGAGTGGCTGAAAGCGAGTAGTGAATCCGGACACTGAGTGCACCGGAAGGAATGCCGCTTTTGCATAGTTTGTGCTTGTCGTGCCTTTTGGGGGGGGGGCGGCAATATTGTAATGCAAAATGAACTTTACCTACAAAATAACCATGTAAGGACTGAGGCAGATTTACAATAGACAGATCACAGATTTAATTTATGAATTTTTGATTCATTTATTTTGCTGCCAGCACGCGCACACAAAAGACTGACTTTGACGATGACCATTATTTATATACAATACAATAAAACAAAGCCTCGGCTGCAGAAGCTGCACTTTAGAAGGACCACTAGATGGCCACAGCATGAACCGCTTCGAGTAATGAGCTTTTGTCCGATACACTTGTGCTGACAGCTGCGCAGGTTCAGAACGCTTCTCTCTCTTCGCCATTACTGTTGTATACATTACACCGCGTCAGTTTGTGATTCAGTGAGTACTGAGAAGCAGAGCAGCAGCTGCGCGCATAGTGTGCGGGACTCTTATTTTGCCGCGTGTTCGTGCAGCGGAAGCGGAAGCTGTGTCCGAAATCACCCCCTATACCCTCATTCACTATTCCCTACATTAGGTCACTGCTTCAGTTCACTAGAAGGAGTGGCTGAAAGCGAGTAGTGAATCCGGACACTGAGTGCACCGGAAGGAATGCCGCTTTTGCATAGTTTGTGCTTGTCGTGGCCTAATGGTTAGAGAGTCGGACTCGTAACCCAAAGGTTGTGGGTTCGAGTCTCAGGTCTGGCAGGAATTGTAGGTGGGGGGAGTGAATGTACAGCGCTCTCTTCCACCTTCAAGAAATTAACGTTCTTAGAATTGACAAGACGGTTGACCCTGAGTGGTCGGCTAAATATCTACAGTGGATCTAAAATATGAATAGTTAATTATAACTAGTTATGGTTAATTATTCATATTTCCCATGAGCTAATTCGCTACAGCCACATGTCATGTCACTCACTGTTTATAAATCATTTGAAAATGAACGGATCCAGGCCACAGAAAAAAAGGGGCCAAAATCACACCTTGTGGGGTACAACACTCGTCACTGGAGCTGTACTCTTAAAAGGACATCTTTGTACCTTTTTTTTTTAGTACCCCTAACAGGTACATATTAGTAGCTTAGAGTAGAAATTCCTTCCCTTAAGGTACTCATATGTAGGCCGACCTATTAGAGGTAAAAGCTGCTGTACCCCAAAGGTGTGATTTTGGCCCTTTTTCTATAGCCTATAGATACACAACAACTTCTGAAACCACAGACAACTCTATTATTTGTACGGCCATCACATAGAAAGGTGTAAATCATTGGTCTGGGGCCGTGGAAAATAATAAAAGGTTCTCTCTAGAACTGCACCTTCACTTCTCTTTCCTTCATCTTCCCCAATACCTCCGTCTCTCCTTCTTTCCTCACCCGCAGCTCTGTGTCCACCTCCTCATTACTGTTACCACAGAATGTTCTTTATCTTAAAATGATTCAAACTATAGAAATTATTACTTTTATTTAGCTAGGATGCTTTAAATTGATCAAAAGTGATGATAAAGACATTGATAATGTTACAAAAGATTTCTATTTTAGATAAACGCTGTTCTTCTGAACCTTCTATTCATCAAAGAAACCTGACAAAAATCTACTCTGTTTATATATATATATATATATATATAATAATAATAATAAATGTTTCTCGAGCAGCAGATCAGCATATTACACTGATTTCTGAAGATCATGTGACACTGAAGACTGGAGTAATGATGCTGAAAATACAGCTGCGCATCACAGAAATACATTACAGTTTAACAGAGATTCACTTAGAAAACAGCTGTTTTACATTCTAAAAATATTTCACAATATTACTGTTTTGCTGTATTTTGGATCAAATAAATGCAGGTTTGGTGAGCAGAAGAGACTTCTTTAAAAATCTTACTGATAAAAACCTTTTGACTGCTCGTGTAGGCCTATTAAAACACATTCTCTAAAGCGCCTAAATGTCAAAATTAGTACAATATATTTGTTGAAAAATTCTACTGAACACACTATTGCATTATTAGGCTGTGACTGATATTATTTCTGTGTTGCTGTCTCTAGCTCGCTCCCTGCACAATAAATCCACCTGAATATCTGTCTCTGCTCAATGTTTTAATGTAACTTTACAATCGATATAGGTGTCCTTAACACAGTATTCTGAATGATGATGATAACGGGGTGCTAGTACTGATACTAGCAGTTTAATACTCCACTAAAGACAAAACTCTAGAGTATTTACAGATGAAGCTGACGTGCTGTTGTAGCTCTGAACAGGTCAGTGATGTAGCTGCACTTCTCTGCTTCTTCTGTCCGCTTCCTCGCTTTCATCCAGTCACGATTTTTCATCTGTAGACCCTTGACAGAGTGTTAAAAAGTAACCCTAAAAACAAAACCGAGCATGTTACACACATCTACAAAGAAAAGGGAGTAGTAACCTTGTTTTAAAATGAAGCTGAAAAGAAACATAGGTATCTAGTCTTCTAGTTGTTGATTGGTTGGAGTTCCATTCCTTTGCAGCCTTCACTGAGAATACAGACTGATTAAAAGTACGTCTTTTGAGAGGAATAACTCTTGTAGACCGGTGAGCAGTTGTTCTAATATTCACAAGCTCTTTTAATAAACTCAGGCTATGAATAGTCTTAAACAGTAGACACATATCTACATATTTGATCAGGTTATCCCAGATTAGCAAATGATATATTTTTAGTATTGAGCAATGATGAAACAGAACTGATTTCTTATCAAGAGTTTTTAGTGATTGTTTATACAAAGACTCCAGTGGTTTCAGAGTAGTTATACTAGCTTGCGACCAAGTAGTTAAACAATAAGTGAAATGAGAAATAATCACGTAATGCACATACATCAAAGCGGCCTCCGACGACATATAACCACGAATAAATCTAAGATCTGACAGACCCGGTTACAGACCTCTTTAACCTGAGCCTCAAATGAAAGTCTGGAATCAATCAGAACACCGAGGTACTTATATTCAGTCTTTCCCCTGATACACAAACATCTGGCACTACACTTGAACTATTAGATTTGGTGAAGAACATGCACACTGTTTTAGAGATGTTCAACTGTAAACAGCATTGTTCTAGCCAAGCTGTGACATGAACCAAGGATTCTGTAAGCTCATTTGCAGCTGTGTATATAGATTAGATAACAGGGTAATCCGCATACATTTGGATGTTAGTGTTAGGACAGACGGATGGAAGATCACTGATGTACAACGTGAAAAGCAAAGGACCCAGAATAGATCCTTGTGGAACACCAGTGGATATACTTAGGAGGGCTGACTTATAATTCTGTATACTAACTAGGGAAGTCAAGTTTTACGATCAATTTAAGGTTGTTTAAGTTAACGATCAATTAATCGATTAATCGTTAACCTTAATGCTGCAAAATGTGTCTATTGCAGCGGCACGCAGTCACCGGTATGACAGTATGTGCAGTGCCACTCAAACAAAACAACTTTCTCACCCGAATTAAAGGGGTTTTAGTCTGAGTAAAATGCTAGTAGCAGGATTGTAAAACGAATAGATGTGATTTGATAAAATGAAGAGAGCGTGCCGTAGCCTACGTTTGAGATCATTTTACTTTGTTGGCTGTTTCATATCTCGGAGGCGCTGAACATGCCTTTTCAAATGGTTTCGTGGTGCTCGTTGTTGTATTTTAAAACACAGTTTTCAGCTGACATTATGGCATTTCAAATAAAATGATTCCAAATGTAACTGTGGCGCGTGTGGCTGTGCTGCAGTCAGTGAACCGCTTCCATCAGCGCTGCTGCAGCAAAACACACTGTTGCTCACATCAAACATTATTATCTGAGTATTATGACTAGTACTTAATTTGATGCTGTTCCGATTTGGATGTCAGATTTAGAATCGTGCCGTAGCCTACGTTTGAGATCATTTTACTTTGTTGGCTGTTTCATATCTCGGAGGCGCTGAACATGCCTTTTCAAATGGTTTCGTGGTGCTCGTTGTTGTATTTTCAAAACACAGTTTTCAGCTGACATTATGGCATTTCAAATAAAATGATTCCAAATGTAACTGTGGCGTGTGTGGCTGTGCTGCAGTCAGTGAACCGCTTCCATCAGCGCTGCTGCAGCAAAACACACTGTTGCTCACATCAAACATTATTATCTGAGTATTATGACTAGTACTTAATTTGATGCTGTTCAGATTTGGATGTCAGATTTAGAATTTTTGCGTTCCTGTAGGCCTATTTGTTTTTTAAAATCTGGCATTTACAGTGCATTAGATCGTGCCAGTGCATGCTTGCGTGCATACGAGCCGGAGCGAGCGCGGGTTTAGCTAGATGTATTTGGAGGCGCCAGCGCGATCGAACAGCTCAAACATAAAAAAAAAAACATTTTTGGAGTAAGATATAATCCGCAAAAGTGTTTACTTTTATTTTTGCACACTCACAATAAAAACAGAAGATTTGTGCTTTTGTAAAATAAAGCAAACCAGCAGAATGCGCGGTCATCTCGGTTCTCGGTTTCCGTGAACTTGTTTATGGAGCGCCGCGCCACACTTCTGTTTTAAATCTGTTAGCTTAATCATTTAAGTCGATATATTTTGCATATTTTTTTTAATGAAAACAAATTTTGTTATTTTTATTTTAGGCCTATTTTAATATTACTTACATAGGCTATACATTTTCCTTAAAGCATCCCGTTTTGTCCCAGGGCTTGAAACCCTGTGCCTAGGCTAGTTCGGTCCGGCAGAAACTCGTGAACGATGCTCGTATTGTTGTGTGCATCACCGTTTAGTGACGTCACTGAATGCTCCGGGAAAACGTGTTGTGAGTGTCGGTCACAGCGCATCCAGCAATTATTTATTTACAAATTATAAGCTCTGATTATAACACAAGTGAGGTATAAAAGAGGTGTAATTGGTTAGCTGGTAGCCCATACATTCACGCACTTTCTTCTGGTTTGCCGATTGGACACGAATTTCCACAAATTTAATAATATTTATTGTTTCTTATCCTAAATTCTCACCGTCTCACCCTCTAATTTTGAAGGTTTATTTTATTGTCATTCACTTTTAATCACTGTTTTCGCATCTCTTACTGTGGTAAACATGCGGGAAGAGAACTGTATTGGATGTAAAGCAAACTAACTATTATTCAAATAATTAGTGATTTGTGCAGCCATCAATTTCTCTGCAACCTTTGAAACAATATGTAAAATACTAATAGGTCTCAGAGTGAACAGCTCCAGCTTTGGATACAGGCACAATAACAGATGAGTCCAAGCACACAGGAACATCCCCTGAGGAACTGACAGGTTGGTAATGTTAGTGATAGGATTAACTCGTGACTCACTAAGCTCTTTCAGCATTACTACATCCATACCAAATATATCCTTTGCTCTGGATGGTTTAAGAGATGTAATTGTTCTTCTGACGTCTGTATTAACTGATAAACATCTGTATACTCAGGAGAGAAGCATTGTGCACTTGTGACCACAGAATTAATGAAGTAATGATTAAGTGCATCAAGTCAAGTCACCTTTATTTATATAGCGCTTTTAACAATAACATCAGCTGGATTATTAGTCAGCTTCCCGTTTACCATCGATTCAAGTGATGTCCTATCTCTCATTTTATCTCCTTTTAAACAGTTAAACTGATTCCAGGCTGTTTTAGAATGACCTCTTGCCTCTTCAGTTATTCTCAGGGTCTTTACCAGCTTGTTCCATAACGCAACGAAATGTTGTCTATCATGACTTAACTTTGATCTGTTTGCAGCTTTTAAAGAAGATCCCTAAAATATCTGAATTCATCCAAGGACAGTATGGTTTTTTTTAGTGTTAGGATAAAATTTACAGCTAAAATCTTTAATAGTGCTCTCTAATTTTTTGGAGAATATTCGACTGTCTTCCTCCTGATCTTTTCTGGTTAACAAAGCGCTCCATTTAATCTGATGGACTAGTCATCTAGTTTGTGTTTTGGGCTGCCATAAGAATCATATGTGACCCTGGAGCACAAAACCAGTCATAAGGGTACATTTTTTAAAATTGATATTTATGCATCATCTGAAAGCTGAATAAATAATCTTTGCATTGATGCATGGTTTGTTAGGATAGCACAATATTAGAAAATCTGGAATCTGAGGGTGCAAAAAAATCGAAATATTGAGAAAATCATCTTTAAAGTTGTTCAAATGAAGTTCTTAGCAATGCATATTACTAATCAAACATTAAGTTTTGATATATTTACGGTAGGAAATTTACAAGATATCTTCATGGAACATGATCTTTACTTAATATCCTAATGATTTTTGGCATAAAAGAGAAATGTATAATTGTGACCCATACAATGTATTGTTGGCTATTGCTACAAATATCCCCCAGCGACTTAACACTGCTTTTGTGCTGCAGGGACACATATATTATTATGAATTAATTTAATCTCTTACTAGATAATTTTCTGGCCACTAAAATCAAATTGTGGTCAGAAAGACCTGTTAACATATTATTAAAAGTTTTTAAAATCTCTGCTCGGTTACTAATTAAATCAGTTAGTAATTCTTGTAGGCCCATTAATCAATTGCTTCAGATCTAAATGATCAGTTATCTGTCTGAGATTCTTTCTAACCGTTTTATCATCCCAATTAATATTAAAGTCTCCCATAATAACTTCTTTGTTGAAATTGCACTGTTTTAGTCATTGTTTCAAGTTTTCATAAAAACTAGAATTAGAAGATGGAGGACGATAAATTACAATTAATACAAAAGACGTGTGGTGATCGAGTCAGATTCAGACCAATACATCCGAGCGAGTTCATTACACTAAAGGCCAGATTTCACATCAATCATAACATCGTTCCTATACGCTTCTAATGCTGCTCAGGGGATTTACATGAAGCCATGTCTCAGATAAACAAAGAAGATCTAAATTAGAGTCTAATAAAAGATGATGAATTTGATCACGTTTTGATAGAAGACTTCGTATATTCAGAAGACCACCTAGACTTTAGGATCCCGCATTGTTCTTGATCCCCCTTTTCCTATTTTTTAAAATAGCTTGATTTACAAATTTCCTTTTTACATTTTGCACAGACTTTGAGACTTTATAGCGTTGATCACTGCTCTCTTCTGTTCTCCTGTGCAGCTCACGATCGTGTTCTTCGCTCGGTCGGCTCTGGATGTGCTCGATGCTCTGCATGTCGTGGACAAGCCGGGTTTAATCGAGTGGATTTATTCCCTGCAGGTTCTTCCCACCGACGACAGTGAGTCTCTCACGCTTCACTCGTCTCATTTATCATGTGCTAGAAGCTCTGTAGCGCTTCTTCCCGTCTGCTTTCTCTTCTCTTGATGAACAGAGTCCAATCTCAGACGCTGTGGCTCCTCACACGCCGGCGGTCCCTACAGCAGGTCGACGGTAGAGGTTCTGCTTGCTTTTTAATTAACTTGTACTGGAAAACAAGACAGAAATACTGAGGAAGAAAATCAGAAGTTATATACATATTTTATTGTTTGTGAGCAGAGATATTCAGTCATTAAGCTGTTGTTTTTGTGAGCTGATTTATACACTAATGGAAATGTGTTGGAAGGTTTATTTTCAAAACTGTAACCCGTTTAATCCCACATTTTTCCCAGACATGAAAATATCCAAATGATGTGCCATTAGTAACCCTTTGAATAATCAATAGTTATTTTTTGAAAATGCTTTGGAAAAGTTATGGTCGTCACTATTGTGAGCAGTGGGATAATGTGTGTACTGAATGAACATATTTCTGCAGTCATCAAAATTATTATATATCTCAGCCCAGCTATTTTAAACTGTTTGATCACATTCCAGGGTTATTGTTATGCATAAACGCTCTTATACAACACTGACAGGAACACAGAGATAAAAGACAAAACAAATATAACCATCAACGTATTTCAAAATTGTTACTTTACTGTAACATGTATCATCAAATTGTTATATTAGTGCTACAACATCAATATTGTAACTTATTTGTAACATTTAAACTTTTAATTTAGTGCAATATTTTGTCATTGCAACATTTTAACAACTGCGACTGGATTTATCTGCAGACCTAAGTTCACTGTTATCTCAGCGGTCACTATTGTGACTGTTTACTCATTCTCTGACCACACTCAACAAAACTGAATATATGTGAATTCATATATTAATACTAGACACCTAAATCTTTGTCATATCTTTATGTTAACATACTTTACTAGGCTTTTGTTTTGGAGCTTTGATGCAGTTATTATCTTCTCAAGCTGCAAACAGGAATTAAACTGCTCTGGTCATGTGATAATCTGCACTAACCATGTGACACTGCACAGATTTAATTGAGACCCTTTATTAATTCTATATTTGCAGGAAGTGCACTAAAACATCAGTCTGTAAGGTTTTTAGAGCTTTATCAACGCAAACCGTGCTGAAACACTCATGTCTTGTCTTGGCCTTAAGAAGCTCTTCAGCGTGTCTGTGTGTTGTAGAGCCGGTGTAGAGCAGTGAGGCGTGTGTCTCCGCAGGGCCCCGGGGCTCCTCACACGTATGACAGCGCTCACGTGGCCATGACCTACACGGGCCTGGCGTGTCTGGTTGTTCTGACGCTCGTCTCGCTCTCGCTGGCCTGCAGAGTCCGCTCTAAACGTGCCTGTGGCAGTGTAAGCGAATCCTCATGATTACCCAGAAACACAAGTTATTCCCGTGGGTCAGCAGGGGTCAAAGGTCGAGCGGATCTCTGATGTAATCCAGCTCTTCCACACGGCTCACTCCTCGTGACGAGAGTAACTCACAGAACAGACGCAGAGCTCTCTGTAGGTCACACACTCCGTCTGTTTATTGGTCGTCTTTAGTGATGTGTGTTTTAGTCCCACTGCGTTTAAACCGATGCTTCAGCCAGAAATCATCATCACTCGCCCATATGTCATTCAGACATGACTTACTTTCTTCTGAGGAGCACAAAAGAAGATACGTGTGTCCCTGCAGCACAAAAGCAGTGTTAAGTCGCTGGGGGATATTTGTAGCAATAGCCAACAATACATTGTATGGGTCACAATTATACATTTCTCTTTTATGCCAAAAATCATTAGGATATTAACTAAAGATCATGTTCCATGAAGATATTTAGTAAATGTCCTACCGTAAATATATCAGAACTTAATTTTCACATTTAGAAGAATGTTTGGGAACCGAACCACTTTGGACCCCGTTGACTTTCATCACATGGATGAAGAACTAAAAACATCTTTTGTGTTCCACTGAAGCGAGTTGAACAGGTTTGAGTGACACGAGGGAGAGTAAATGATGACTGAATGATCATTTCTGGCTAACTGATCTCATTACAGAGCTTAATGTGAGTTGTGTTGATGTGATGAGCACAGTATGTTGATGACGCTGCATCGGTCAGGGAGCTGGACTGGAGTCTCACACCTCTCTCCGGTCTCCGTCAGTGACGCTGGTGATGATAACGGCTCTGTCTTCACTCAGGCGGGTCCACGTTCTGTGCCGTGGCGTCTCTGTGCATGATGGGAAAGCTGCAGGAGGTGTTCAGCGAGCGAGAGCTGAAGCGGATCCAGACAGCAGAACGGCTTCCACGGCCTGCTACTCCTTCTGGCTCGGAGCCACGCTGCAGGTGTGTCACGTCTCTGTCGCCTCAGGACTCGAACCGTGGGATGAAGAGCAGACTCACGGAATCCAGGCACAAAAGCAGAGTTTACTGAATAACGCGGGATGCACTGCAAAAAATGATTCTCTTACTTAGTGTCTTGTGTTCTAGTATAAATATCTAAACATTCTTGAATCAAGATGCATTTACAGTTATTTGCAAGTGTTATAACAAGTCTTATTCGCAGTACACGAAGCAAGTTTTTTTTATTATTATATAATAAATAAAAAGAAAAACAGACGGAATAGAAAAAGAATAGAGCAAGCTAGTGTTAGAGGCCTTTTTTGCTTTTGTTAATTGTATAATAAATAAAAAGAAAACAAATAGATAGAATACTAAAAGATTAGAAAAGCTAGTTTTTTTTAAAGAATAGAATTAGAATAGAGTGCTAGAGTTAGAGGGTCTAATAAAGGTGGAACAGATGTGTTTTAGCCGATTCTTGAAGATGGTTAAGGACTCAGCTGCTGGGATTGAGTTGGGCAGGTTACTCCACCAGGAGGGAACAGTTAATGAAAAGTCTGTGAAAGTGATTGTCTCTCTTTGAGATGAACAATAAAGTGACGTTCACTTAAAGAACGCAAGCTTCTAGAGGGCACATAAGTCTGAAGTAATGAATTTAGGTAAAGGGGTGCAGAGCCAGTGGTGGTTTTGTAGGCAAACATTAATGCCTTGAATTTTATGCGAGCAGCTATTGGTAGCCAGTACAAATTAATTAACAGAGGTGTGTTTTATATTTTTAGGTGTATATTATATTATATTATACATACTTTTACATGAACTGTTCCCTCCTGGTGGAATGACCTGCCCAAAGATGAACAATAAAGCGCCGTTCACTTAAAGAACGCAAGCTTCTAGAGGCACATAACTCTGAAGTAATGAGTTTAGGTAAAAGGGTGCAGAGCCAGTGCTGGTTTTGTAGGCAAACATCAATATATATAATATATTGATAATGATTTAGAATTTTTGATGATTAATTTAACCATTAAAAATTTAAATGGGGGGAAAACATTGAATTCGGGAAAAGAATAGACTGATAAGATGAATTCTCCTTTGGTTAATTCTCTGTTGTTTACCAAGCCGACCATCACTAGTATTGGTTAGTGATCAGATCTCTAGTACTACTACACTAGTACACACTACACTTCCATTCTTACACAGCTCGGGTGAATTCAGAAGACACAAACATCACAGACCTGTTAGTGGAATCAAAAGAAGGATTTGTACATTTGGCCTGTGTTTGTAATTTTCTCCCTGCAGATATTTCTGAGTGTTGTCAGTGTGAGCAGAGCCAGTGCTGGTTTTGTAGGTAAACATCAATATATATAATATATTGATAATGATTTAGAATTTTTGATGATTAATTTAACCATTAAAAATTTTAATGGGGGGAAAACATTGAATTCGGGAAAAGAATAGACTGATAAGATGAATTCTGCTTTGGTTAATTCTCTGTTGTTTACCAAGCCGACCATCACTAGTATTGGTTAGTGATCAGATCTCTAGTACTACTACACTAGTACACACTACACTTCCATTCTTACACAGCTCGGGTGAATTCAGAAGACACAAACATCACAGACCTGTTAGTGGAATCAAAAGAAGGATTTGTACATTTGGCCTGTGTTTGTAATTTTCTCCCTGCAGATATTTCTGAGTGTTGTCAGTGTGAATCTGTGTTAGTGGTGAGTCTAACATGCGCTCTTGTGTCGTGTTCCAGTACACTCACTTCCAGAAGAACCGCAGCTGCCTTCTGTCCACGCAGGACCGCTTGGTGGCGGATTCGCTAAATCAGTCATCCAGGTACAGAGCGCTCGGGAGCTGTTGTGTGTGTGTGTGTGTGTGTGTGTGAGACTGAGGAGAGCGTTGTGTTTCTGAAGGATCTGGAGATGTTTCCAGTGTCACCTGATGACCAGAAATCACACTGACCTCAAAACACTGCTTTTCTCTCCAGTCCAGAGCTTCGTGTAGAGAAATGTGCTGCCTCGCAGGTGTTAGACAGACATAAAATATGAGCATATAAATCTAGAAATAGTCTAAATAATACTTTTGATTATATTTGTGTAGCAGTGATGCAGACACACTCAGGGCAAACATGTTCAATATACATGTATCTGATGGTTTTATCAGGACAGGAGTGCTGGTGCTCTATATGAATATGAATATATGATTTAAGTCTTGATTAAAGTCTTCATGAATCACGAGGACAATCACAAACTTTGATTTGAAGCAAAAAAACGTATTTGAAAAAATCAAACCAAAACTTGCACGATACTTGCGATGTTACATCATCAAATTAAAAATAATGGATAAATATTTAAAAAAACTGTTGATACAATACAAAAACAATATATACACTGCCCTTTACTATAGTACTTTTTGCAGTAACTAGTAGTGCAACTAATTACTAATACGATAATATTACAGTTACTATTCATAAAACAGTTAGTTACTTAGTTAATAGTTCCTTGATTTATTTTCATAGTTTTCACGACTCAGTCCCAGTGCAGCAAGCATATGGAATATGAAAAGCTGACATTCAGCGGATGATGCTACTATCAGTCAGCCCTGAGTGTTCCTAATCACTTCTGACTGCGATCCACTGTGGATTTTGGTCACATGATACGGCAGAAATATATTCTTAGTAACATTTTAGAAGAATTTTATGGGGAAGCTATGCAGCTTGCCAGCTTCTGTGAGGCGTGAAGGACAAGTCGTGTAACTAGTAGTGTAACTAATTACTGGTGCCAGAAAGTAACAAGTAAAATAATAATATGTGACCCTGGAGCACAAAACCAGTCAACTATTTGAAAATCTGGAATCTGAGGGTGCAACAAAATCTAAATATTGAGAAAATCATCTTTAAAGTTGTTCAAATGAAGTTCTTAGCAATGCATATTACTAATCACACATTAAGTTTTGATATATTTACGGTAGGACATTTACTAAATATCTTCATGGAACATGATCTTTACTTAATATCCTAATGATTTTTGGCATAAAAGAGAAATGTATAATTGTGACCCATACAATGTATTGTTGGCTATTGCTACAAATATCCCCCAGCGACTCAACACTGCTTCTGTGCTGCAGGGACACATATTTACGGTGGCCGAGAGAGCTCAACGCGCTGCAACTTAAGAAAACACCAGCAAATTGAAAAAACACCTTCATCAGTTTGACAACACACCCGCTGCAAATCCTCACAAACATGCAAATGAAGAAAGAGCTGCAAATAGCACGGACCACAACGGAAATGTTTCTTGGGGACCCAAAAAAGTGAGGGACCCGGCTGGGATTTGTTTTGTGCAGTGGCTTTTTTTTTTAGTTTCTGCTAGTGATTCCTTTTTTTTTATTATTATTATTGAAGATATAACATTCACAGGGGATACAGTCATAGCAATAAATTACATACACAACCAGAATACAAAACAATAAATATAAAGAATAATAAAAATGAAATATAAACAGAACAAAAACAAATAAATAAAAAGTTAAACATCTTTTCTTTTTTTTAAATAAATCATAAATAAATGAAAATAAAAAATAACTTAAATGGAAAATTACACATAAAATGTCAACTTCAAAGAATACACAGGAGGTAACCCTTACATCAAAGTCAATATTTTTCCATCAACACAGTAGTTTTAACAGCTTTCTTATTAAGTGATGAGCAGAGAGATTCATAAAATCATTTCAAATCAATATCATTTTTATTATTCTTTATATTTATTGTTTTGTATTCTGGTTGTGCATGTAATTTATTGCTATGACTGTATCCCCTGTGAATGTTATATCTTCAATAATAATAATTAAAAAAAAAGAATCACTAGCAGAAACTCAAAAAAAAGGCACTGCACAAAACAAATCCCAGCCGGGTCCCTCACTTTTTTTGGGTCCCCAAGAAACATTTCCGTTGTGGTCCGTGCTATTTGCAGCTCTTTCTTCATTTGCATGTGTTTTCTTAAGTTGCAGCGCGTTGAGCTCTCTCGGCCACCGTACATATTAGTTTTGAAAGGAGTAAGTAGTAACGAGTAATATATAGCAGTTTTCGAGCAGCAGGTGTTGATGAGCGCTCTGTCGTCGCTCCGCAGACCCTCTCCACATGTACTTGTGCATCAGTGGTCTGTCTCTGATGGCAGCAGCTGCATGCGGCGCTGAACATCAGTGTTGGAGCGTTCGAGAGTCTGCAGCAGCTGCAGGAGGCGTGGAGGCAGAAGAGCACATGATGACGCTTCGCTTCGTTTGGGCCCCGGATTCATCCTCCCTCATCAGTGTTTGATTATTAGTTTCTGCCTTACAGACCAGCTGATCCTGGACTATTATACACTATTTATTTCTGTTTTACGCTTTATATATATATATATATATACATTTCCGTTTCTTATTCTTTCTGTGAAATCATCGTCCTCTCTTGAATGTGCCTCAGATGTCTTTAGGATGTTACAGTATATGCTATAAACACACACATCTGCACTGAAGACGCTTGAATGTGTGCTTCAAGGATCAAATGATGAGATAATTTCTATTCTGTAATATCTAGTGTAGAAGTGACAGTCACACTGCTCGTATTTTATTATGATGTAAAGTTGAAGTGCTGAACTGATGGACTGCGAGTGTCAATAAATGAAGAGCTTTTATCATGTCTGAGATGTTTATGATAAATAATAATTTTTTGAATTGTTATATGTGTGATTATTATATGCATATTTAATAATGGTTATCAAGTTGTTTTCAACATGTCTGAGATTTAGATATTATTTTTAGAGTCACCTTAAGACAAAAAAAAACCCTGGAGAAAAATGTATGTGTGTGTGTGTGAGAGTGTGTGTGTGTGTGTGTGTGTGTGTGTGTGTGAGAGTGTGTGTGAGTGTGTGTGTGTGTGTGAGAGTGAGTGTGATAGAGTGTGTGTGTGTGTGTGCGTGTATGTGTGTCAGAGAGTGAGTGTGTGTGTGTGTGTGTGTGTGTGTGTGTGCGTGTATGTGTGTCAGAGAGTGAGTGTGTGTGTGTGTGTATATATGTATATATAAAATCTTTTAATTACATATTTTGAGGAAGAACATGTATTAAGTGTTGCATGCATGATAATAGCAATGTGTAGGTGAGCAAAGATCCCTTTGTTAAATCATTAACTTAGAATGGTATGAACTATGAAAATAATACAATCACACTCACACTCACACACACACACACACACACACACACACACTCACTCTCTCACACACACACACACACTCACACACACACCCACACACACACAGACTCATACTTTATACGGCCCCCCTGGCCTTACGTCAAGGACCTCTAGGGGTCCACGGACCCCTGTTTGAGAAACACTGTCCTAGAATAGAATAAAGGGAGATATTCCAGAGACACTGCTTCACATATACAGAACAATCATGCAGAATTATGGGTCAAAGGTGGTTTGGATTTAACGTCAAACCTTCAAAACATCAGACGGTTAGAGATGGCTGTAAACTGCTGGATGTGGTGCGTCAAACTCTGATTGCAGGAGGAAAAACTGATGAATAATTCATATAAAAAGGCGATATTTGTGTCGATTCTGAGTTTTACTCGACAGATTTCAAGTGCTGCTTGTACTGAGGTTTACACCACAGCATAAAGTATATGTTCAGAGAAAACCTGAATGACCCACATGTGCAATGAATCATAAATGTGAAGTTTAATGAGGTAAACCTGCTCTGCTGTCCTGCTTTGCTGGGTTACATGCTCTTAGACGTGTACAGTATTTGATCATGTGTACACGAAGCATGTGTTTGCATCAGGGCTGCTTGTGTGATACTGCTGCTCTCAGGAGCTGTGCACATGTGCTGCACTGAGCATTATCTGCTCATGTGTGTGGCCTGATGAAGCTGCACCAAGAGCTGTCAGTCAGCGAGGCCACGCCCACAGAGCCAGCGAGTGGGCGGGGTCTCGCGTCTTCGAGACGGTGCTCGAGTTGAATGAATTCTCTCTCGATCTCTGCGAGCGGACCCTCCTCATCCTCATCCTCATCCTCATCTTCATCAGGAGAGCTGACTCGGACATGTCGGAGTTCGCGAGTATCGTGGAGCGCCTCGAGAGAGGCGAGGTGAGCTTCATCTGATGATGATCGGTCCTGCTATTATGATGTGGATGCTTTATGACTGTATTTCTCTGCAGTCGGTCGGTGTCACGGAGAAATAATCGCTCGTTCATCCGCTGCTGTCAGCATCCCGTTCGCATGCGTCACTGCTGCGCCTTGTTTTCCACGTTCAGTCATTAATGCAGTCATTAGATGCTTTCATCCCAAGCGACTTGCAGAGGAGGACCACAGAAGCAATCATACGCAAGAGCTATGACCAGTCTCAGTCTAACGCAGTACACGTAGCAAGCTTTATATAAACAAAAGAAAGCAAGCTGTTAGAAGACGGATGGAGAGAGCAAGTGTTAGAGGGTCAAGTCAACAAATAGATCAAATAGATTTAGAGTAGAGAGTGCTAGAGTTCGAGTCAAATAAGGATTTTGCATCATGTTGTCAGTGAATATAACTGTGAAGCATTTGGCGTCGGCTTGGACATACTTATACATTACAAAATTAGGCACAGCGAAGTTATATTACAAGCAAAGCACCATTTATGCATGTATATAACAAAAAAAGAAAGCTTTAACACGTCTTGGATACAAGTCTTCCTGCCTCATGTATAATGTAGCGTTCTGTAGCGGACCCCGCCCCTTATTTAGTTACCGAATAGCTTCGCTGCGGGGTTGCTATAGAGACGGCCGGTGACTCCGCCCACTCGGCTGGTCGCGTGCGCGTGGCGTTGTTGGGTTCTTCCTCGAAGCTGGGTCCGGATCGCGATGTCCAGGCGGAGCGCGCTGCTAGTAAGTGCTGAATCCTGAACCACACCGCTGTTGTCTGCTGAGGGGAAGTTGAGCCGACTGTTTAGAATTCATTTAATATGTTTTTAAAATAAGCCATGCCTTGTCGACGTTCGTTCGCGCTTGCGACAGAGTTTAGCGTAGTTTTGACGCTCGGAACAGAAAGTGAAGCATGCAAGCGACTTCCCCAAGCGCGCGCGTGATCTCCGAGGTCAGTGCGTCTCTGGGCTCCTGCTGCAGCTGTGTGTGCTCCGCAGGTGCCGATGAAGAGCATCGAGAGGGAGCTGATCTGCCCCATCTGTGAGGAGCTCTTCACACAGCCGCTGGTGCTGCCCTGCCAGCACAGTGTGTGCCACCGCTGCGTCCGAGAGCTGCTCATGCCCAACCACGACGACTCTCTGAGCACCGACGCCGGGTCCGAGAGCTCCAACCCCGGCAGCCCTCGCGCCAGGGGCCCGTCCCCCAGCATGGAGAAGCTGGAGCGCCTGGTGCGGTCAGGTAACCCTTACTCTCACTCTCACAGAGGAGATGCAGGCATGAGCTCTCCATTGATGTATGGTTTGTTAGGAGAGGACAATATTTGGAAATCTGGAATCTGAGGGTGCAAAAAAATCTAAATATTGAGAAAATCATCTTTAAAGTTGTTCAAATGAAGTTCTTAGCAATGCATATTACTAATCAAACATTAAGTTTTGATATATTTACGGTAAGAAATGTACTAAATATCTTCATGGAACATGATCTTTACTTAATATCCTAATGATTTTTGGCATAAAAGAGAAATGTATAATTGTGACCCATACAATGTATTGTTGGCTATTGCTACAAATATCCCCCAGTGACTTCAGACATTGATCAGGGTGAATAAACATCCACTTGCAATGCATTTTTGGATCTGAATCTAAATTGATTAGCAGAAACTACTGGCATCAAATGACACATGCACTGCAAACAAAACAAGCTAATATCTTTGTCTTGTTTGACGTCCTTAAATTAATATATGTTTACAAAATTTAGCAAAATGTGTTTATTTAAAATAGGAACATGTCTGTCGATGTGGAATGAAAACTTGTTTTCTCAGAATTTAGTTGGGTTTTTTCTGAACCCTTTGGCAGATATTTGTTCTCGTCTTAAACTCAATCATAAACTCACTTCGTTTGGATAAATGTCTCATAAAACAAGACTTCACATCAAGTCATTTTGCTTTTCAAGTAAATGTAAATTGATTTAGTAATCTTCAGACGTTTGCTCTGCAAAATAAGCCGATACTAATGAAGAACAGCACTCTTCTACAGTAAAAGTTAACTTATTTCCATATTCTACTTTTTGGGAGCAAAGCTATTTTCTTTACTTGGTCTTAAGTCTTCTTTACCTTGCAGAAAGCCTGATCTAGCATAAAGAGCTTATTATTAGTATTTATAAAACTGCATTATTTTAGATGACGTGTTTTGTCTAGGTCCAAAAGTAGTTTTTCTTGTTATCCTCCTAGAATTAGGACGAGATCAGCGGCAGATTCAGTTACACGAGCTTATGTTTTGTGCTTCTTTATCACTGCAGGAATGATTGAGCAGGTTTTGGTCACTGCTGTTTTAGTGTCTCCTCATCTCTTCTTTTACACTGTTGGCTTTCATTGCAGTTTTTCCCCAAGAAATGTGATGCTGTTGTCATGTTCGTACAGTCATTGGTTGTGAATCAGGTTTCACTCCACTTCTGTTCACGTTTAACCATTGTTAGTCTTGTTTCACTGTTCTCTGTTGCCTGCAGCCTCGCTGAGGAGGTCGTTTGGAGCGAGAGGTAGATGTGGGTTAAATAATTTAATTAGCCGTAGTGAGTACTGTGTCTCTAGACCCCCTGTACTCTCGCGCGCACCGCTTTGCGTAAACAACAGAGGATCGAATCACGGCGAGATGACACTGCCGCTTAAAGAAATGAACATTTGCTGTTAATTTACTAACTCTCAGGCCGTCCAAGATGTAGGTGACTCTTGTTCTTCAGTAGAACAGTAAATCAGTTTTTTTTAGCTGAAACCGTGCTCCTTGGTGATTCATAAAGATGAAAGGGAAAGATGAATGCGGCCAAGTACAGGGATATCCTGGACGAAAACCTTCTCCAGAGTGGGATTACAGATAATAATGTCATAAATAATGTTCACTTTCTTGCACAGACCGATCGTTTCACTTCTCAAGACATCAATATATCATCAGGAGCCACAAGGATTCATATTGTGTTCCTTGATATGCTTTTTTATTCTCAAAGTGCCGGTACCCATTGACTTGCATGTTATGAATCACCAAGGAGCACGGTTTCAGCTGAAAATCTTCTGTACTGTTCTACTGAAGAAGAAGAGTCACCTACATCTCGGATGGCCTGAGAGTTAGTAAATTAACAGCAAATGTTTATTTTTGGGTGAAATGTCGCTTTAAATCTCTCGTACAGACTGCGTTTGGACCGCGAGCGTGAGAACCAGTGTGTAATGTTGCTGTGGAGGAACACAGGAATCCCAGAGCATCTCATGCAGAGACAATACTCAGACATTTTTCTTCTAGACCACAGCAACTCAATAAATACTAGCAGCAGGCTGTGTAAAGAACGTCTGGTCACGTAATAAACTTCTGTGCTCAGGATTAGTGCTCGACCGATATTGTTTTTTTGACAGCCGATGTCTTGGAAAGCAGGGTGACTAATATAATTTTATTTTAATTAATATTTAAGTAATTTGAAATCCTTTGAAAATGGATTAAAAAATAAATTTGTAAAATAAACATAGTTGTACTTTAGATGACACAGTATTTTTCACAAATAAATAAATATTTAATAAAAATATAATTAAAAAGGTAGTAAACACTGTAACCAACAGAGCACTCAGTATTCTGGGAAGTTTGTGTGCATTGGGAATCATATTTTGTCAAATAAAGCCAAAGGTACACTCATTTTACACACAGCACACAGTGAAAATGACATGAATATGACCGTGCATAAATAGATAATTTGGAATCACAAATGTAACGTTTAAAGCATTCAGTTAGCACCGAAAGTCACGCAGAGAACACGCGATCATGCAAGATACACATGCACACGTCACAAGATCTCACAGCTGAACAGAACTGTTAACGACGACGGCGAACAAGAGGAGAATGTGAGCACTGTGTGTAAAATATAAGTCCCGCCTCAAACACATCGGCCAAACAGAGAAACTTATCGGCCGATGCCAATATGTGAAAAATGCCAAATATCGGCCTTGGCGATATATCGGTCGACCACTGCTCAGGATTCGTTTCAAGCTGCGTCTCAGAACCCGCTCTACCCTTCCGACTCAGACGAACCATCCCGAGCGTGAGCCGCTGGTACCCATGCGGTTCTGTGGTTTTGTAGGGACGGCCGTCTCTTGTGCTGTGATCGGCCTGTTTCTGGTCTGAGCGTTTATTTTCTCCCCTCTGCGCTGAGTGTCATTGCGGCAGCATCAGGTCCCAGCATGCCGTGCGGCGACCCCCCCACCCCCGAGCGGCGCAGCACACTCAGTCTAAGTACACGCTTTATTTCACTCATGTCCCGATCTGAACCCGTCCCGCGCTCATCATCGTCCGCATGCGTCGCCCCTTCCGTCTGTGTGGTGTGGTGCTGTCTCTCGTTTGGTGTTTGTTTGCATTTTTCTTTGCTGTTCTTTGCCATCAATGCTTGAAAGCCCATTGCAGAAGCCCATGACACTGACCTGGACCGTCTGCAGAGAGAGGTTCATCTCGCTTTAAAGCTGCTGTGTGATCATCTGTCCCTCACCGCTAGAACAGATGCGTTCAGCACTGATAAAGGCTGACATTCTTAGCGCTGAATGTAAAAGTGATTAATAACGGATGTGTTGACCGTAAAGAGGTCACGCTTGCAGTTAAAGTCTAGGTTAGGGCTGGGTTACGCTTGTTTAGCTCAACGTGTCATGCCACTGTTTACACAGCCAGAGAAGTTCCTGCCACCGTTCCTTTAGAAGAGGAAAAATAAACATTGTGTGTTCTTAATGTAAGCAGTGTTTTAAAGGTGAAATATCATGAAAATCTTATTGCGCTTAAACTGCCAAATACACGCATGAAAGAGAACTTAGTTTAGTACTCATATGTCGTGTGACGGATGCTTTCTGTGCGCTCAGAAAACCCTGTATCAGATGCTTAAACTGATATGGCTTTAAAATGCATGATTTCAACACGATAGACATAATCAAAACCAAACAGATGTTTTTGGCAGAGATCTGAGATATAAGCTGTAAAGGCGCAGCTCTATTCTGGAAAAGGGGGCGGGGAGCAGCAGCAGCTCATTTGCATTTAAAGAGACATGCAAGAAAACAGCCTGTTTCTGCTTCCACTCAAAATAGGCATTTTCAAAATGATATAATAAATGATCTGTGGAGTATTTTGAGCTGAAACTTCACAGACACATTCTGGGGACATCTGAGACTTATGTTACATTTTGTAATATAAGACAAAAGGGGCATAAGAGGTCTCCTTTAAAGTATTATACAACATTTTAAAGTTGTTGTTGGAGTGTAGATGTCATGTTAGTATCATAACCTGAGGAGGGAAGAACAACTGCAATCAAGAGAATCATGTTCAATTTCAGTTTTTAGCACATGTGTGAAACACATGCCCTGTCCAAATACCCACACTTGCAGTCTTGGCCACTTGAGAGCGCGCGTTCAAAAACGCCAAAGCACAGTGCCCTTAACGCACACTAAACCCACACTATCTCCAGGACTGCTCCAGAGCGCTGTTCCAGGCTTAGTGTATCCCATCATGCATCATGTTCTGGAAAGACACTTAGTCTTTGAATTTGAAGTTGAATTTAAAACACAAAGTATTTAAAATAAAAATAAAGCTATGTAAACACTTGCATTTTTACAACACTATAAGTGTGTCCCATCAGGTAATGAAAAGTTCTACACACACTTGTGGTCTTAAAAGGCCCAAAGACCGCAAGTGTGGGTATTTGGACAAAGCAACTGACTGCAAACACTCCGTCTGCCATTGGTCAGCCTAACAGACAGCCCCGCCCCAAACACACATCATTGGTGGAGTCAGATGATCACAATACTGAGCGGCCAGACGTGTCAAGCGTTTGGGGCGTGTTTGGGGCGGGGCTGTCTGTTAGGCTGACCAATGGCAGACGGAGTGTTTGTGGATACTAGGGCTGCAATGATAAATCGGTGCAGAATTGATTTGTGGATGGATTCTGAAATCTTCTGAATGCATCGCGATTCTCAGGAATGGATTCTGAGCTTATATTTTAACAGCAGATGGCGCTCTACTCTAGTTTTTATCCGCACACTCAAACACTCATGAAGAAGAGCTGAAGAGCGCTTGTGCGGTCAGCTGAGTCTGTAATTTCACCTCTGCTCAGAATGCTTTATGACGTCGGATTAATGTAAAACACAGCCCACTGTAAACACGCTTCAACCTTTTCGAATCTTATGAATGATTATTTTAGGTTCAAGTGTGTGTAAGGATTTGGAGCCGAGCAGAGTACGGCTGTTTCTGAAGCATGCAGTGTTCAAAACTAAGCTCAGACTCGACTGGAGAAAGAATTGCGACACATTCGGAAAATCTCACAAATCTCGCGATGCATCGGTTTATTTTCTCAGCCCTTGTGGAAACCTGTCGGGAAATCATCAGTTCTGTTGGTGGAGCAGAAATGACGCACCGCAGCTTTAAAAAGAGTGACCTTGATCTCATTCAGTGCTGCGAAATAACTTGCAGACGTTTTTTTTGCTTAATTCTTTTTTAATTGCCATTTTTTGATCTAGTGTTTCTCGTGTCCAGATCACTGTCTGCTGTTGTGCTGTGTTCAGTTTGAGTCACTCCACGTGTGTCTGTCCTTCTTTGATCACTAGTGCTTCATTGTGTGTGTGAGTGAGACGGTGTGTGAGTGTGAGCCCGAGTGAGAGTGTGTGAGAGAGAGTGCGAGTGAGTGTGTGTGCGCGTGCTCCTGCCCCCCCCCCCCCCCCCCCCCCAAAGCCCAGCACGAGTACGTGGGACCCACCACAAACTTCAGACCGAAGGTCCGTATCAACCCCGCCACCGCTGCGCTATATCAGCTGCTGTCCTTGATCTAACCCATCAAACCCTGGGTTCCAGGTGCTCATGTGTCCCGAGCACGAGATGGAGAAGGTCAACATGTACTGTGAGGTGTGCCGGCGTCCCGTGTGTCATCTGTGCAAGCTCGGCGGATCTCACGCTAATCACAGAGTCACTTCCATGAGCAGCGCCTACAAGATCCTCAAGGTGCGTCCAGTGTAATAACATTCATCTGTCCATGTTCAGAACAGCTCCTAAAGAGCTCATAAACAGCATTTTTTATTTTGTAATGTTTTCTGAGGTGCTCTATGGAAGCTTGTGTCCACCACAGAATAAAAAAAAGATCAAGATAATATTCTGACTTTTTTTCTCAAAATAGCAGCATGTTTACTTGCTTTTTACTCAATCTTTATATAAATATATATATTTTTTGCAATTGTGAGTTTGTATCGTGCAATTCTGACTTAATTTCTCAGATTTCATACTGGGTTTATATCTTGTAATTCTGACTTTTTCCTTGAAATCAGGAGTACTTTTCTCAGAGTTTATATTGAGAGTTAATACCTCGCAATTCTGAGAAGAAAATCATAAAGGTGAGATTAAAAAGTCACACTTTCTTGTTTTTTTATTATTCAGTGGCAGAAATGGGCTTCCATAGTGCACTTGCAGCTCTGGAAGAAATGAAGAGACCACTTGAAAACTCAGTTTCTCTGGATTTATGATTTTTAATTGCATGTTTGAGTAAAACATAATTTAAAAAAAAATTATTCTGTAAACTACTGAAGACATTTCTTCCATATTTTAAATAAAAATGTTGTAATTTAGAGCATTTTTTGGATAAATGGTCAAAATAACAAAAAAAGATGCCATGTTTTTAAACATGTTTATATTTATTTTTAATGTTTTAACTTCATAAGAAGTCCATATTTGGTGGAATAACCCTGATTTTCAATCGCAACAAATGAAATAATTTGTTATTTTGGCAAATGGTCATTTTCAGCAAAAAAAAAACTCTAAATGACAATTTTTATGGAAAAAATGTTATCAGACCTTTATAGAATAAAATAAATATTAACATTTTACTCAAACCCACACCTAGTAAATCCAGAGAAACTTTGAATTTTCCAGTGGGCTCTTCATTTTTTCCAGAGCTGTATGACGATTTGTAGGAGTCATAATTTAGAAATAAATGGTCATTTTCTATTCTACTTTGAACTGTTTAGTTAGTGTCTCTTTAAGACTTCAGTGTAAGCGTCCGCTGCTGTGATTGGTCAACATCAGCTCGCAGCATGTTTTTATAGTGCAAATGACCTCTTTATAGGTCATAAGATCAAGTCGATTTTCTCAATTTATGACCCCTTTAAAGTATTGATGCCCGAGCTGAAAACAAGCGCTCGTGTTTCTGTCCGGGGAGGGAGCGTGATGAAGCGACCGAGTCAGAAACACTAGACGACTGCAAACACCAGCTGGGACTCATTCATTCTTAATGCGATCACTTCTGTCTTTTGATGTTCTGTCCGGATCGCAGCACTCACAAAAGCTGTGTTATGTGTCTCGTTCTGTCCAGAAATCATGCGGGAGGCCGGTTTATTTCCACTGTGTTCTAATAGGCTTAACTTTTCTGTCAACAGGAGAAGCTATCGAAGAGTATCCATTACTTAATTAGCAAAGAAGACCAAGTGAGGACTCAGATTTCTGAGCTGGAGGAGATGATGCGTCACACAGAGGTAACGGCGAGCTCATTTCCTGCTTGATCCTGATTGGTCCGAACAATCGGAACAGGCGTGCTCTGTTGATGTGATTGACACTCAATGAGCGTTCATTCAGAGAAGTGGTTAATGCTGCCGTTGATGTCTTATTTATGTTCTGTTTATGTCCATGAGCTCTTAGCATGAAGTAAATGCATTTTTAATATCAGCGTATTGAATGTTTTGGGAAGTTATTTTTATCCTCACGACAAACGGCATCATGCAGCGGTTGTTAGGTTTGTCTAATCTTCGTTAATACTCTCCTTAATACTGCTGGGGAAAGATACTTTTAAAAGTAATGCTTTACAATATTGTGTTACTTCATAAAATGTAACTAATTGCGAAAGTAATGCATTGTTACATTTTGTCATCTGGGCTGGGTTTGCTTGTTTGTTTAATAACAAAACTCCCAAAAGTGATATATTTGGCAGCTGTAAAGGCCTTTTCACACCAGAAGTGAAATGAATAATCCTCAGCCTGAAGGAAGAGCCTCTGTCTGCATTTACTCCCGATTTCTCTCAACACTGTCAGTGAACAAAGTCACTTATTTGAAAAAGTAACTCAGATATTTCATTGTAAATTTAAAAGTGTAATGCATTACTTTACTAGTTACTTGAAAAAAGTAATCTGATTACGTAACTCATGTTACTTGTAATGCATCCCCCCCAACTCTGCATACCACCATTTATTCAGAGGGTATAACAAATAGTTTATTCCGATATCCATTTTTTTTAAGCATCTTTGAAAAGTGGGTTTGTCTTATTAAACAGGGGTGTGTTTTTCTGCACCTCAGCTATGACTAACGACGCTAACTCTAACATCATCTGCTGTTTTAAATGTGCCGGCCCTTTAAATCTGAATGGATTCTGACTGGCTGTCAGTGTTTATCGTATCTCAGCTGGAAAAACCCAACAATGTCGTCTACTCTGAGGGAGTTCATGAAATGAAGCAGATGCAGCGTCAAAATAAATAAATGTAATTACAGTTTAAGGGGTCAAATGACATGATTTGCCCCCACATGTCTACATCACTGCGTGGGAAGATTTGCATAACACCGCCCAAATGTTTACGCAAAGAGAGAAGGCGTAGCTTTTATTCTCGCTGTAGTATTGTTGTCATGGAGACGCTGTGTGTTTCCAAATATGGTAACATTTCCGTCACACGCTTGAGGTATTCGGCCAATCACAACGCACTGGATAGCTGGCCAATCACAGCACACCTCGCTTTTCAGACCGATGAGCTTTGTAAAAATCGACGCGTTTCAGAAAGGCGGGGCATAGAGGAGAAACAATAATGTACAGTATGTGGAAAATAACGTGTTTTTTGAACCTTAAACCGCATAAACACATTTCATTACACCAAATACACAACATAATGTTCTTTTTAGCATCGTCAAGCAATCGCCCCTTTAAATGCATTTAATTAAAGCCAAATATATCCGCATGTCTCTCACAGGGCTTCACCCTCAACGTCTCAGCGTTTCCCGTCATTATTAATCCAGCATCCGCCTCAACACAATCCGTATGACCGTACTAGATCGTGATCGGTGAGAATTAGAGTCGCGCTGCTGTTAAACACTTCAAGCGCGGTTTATTTCACTTGTGTCTTTCTGTGTTTGTCCTATTGTTTGTTATTAAAAATAGGAAGAGTTAAGATGATAACAAAGATACTGTGAAATAGAAATGGTCACATCGTCCATCCCTACTACGAGCTAAACCAAGGGCTGGGAGAAAAATCAATAACGATAATTATCGCGAATCTTCACGATATAATTTTCCTTGATGAAGCGATATGGAGAGTTCGATTAATGTTTATGCACCAAAAGCGGAACAAAACGATTAAAGGAGTAATGGAATATAATTACAGTGTTTTCTGTGATTAAGCTATTGCGTTTGTGCATTTATACTAAATGTATTTAGACTACTGTTTTTCATACAAATAACTAAAAACCAGTTATATGTTTACCATGGTATTGAGGTGCTATATGTGGTTTTAACTGTGTTTATCATGATTTAAATGTATGCTACTATGGAAGACCAGTGGTTAATAAAATTTAAAAAAAAATTTTTTTTTACAGATGTCACTGACATTAATGAACATCTGCATCCTAACTCAAGCTACTAATTACACTGCAAAAATGATTATCTTAGTGTTTGTGTCTTGTGTTCTAGTATAAATATCTAAACATTCTTGAATCAAGATGAATTTACTGTACAAGTAAAATGATTTAAGATATTAAATCTTGTTTTCTAAAAAAAAAAAAAAGATCAAAATTGTGTTAGTTTTTGCTTAAAACAAGCAGAAATATCTGCTAATGGGGCAGGAAAAATAATCTTGTTTAGCTTTTGAATTAAGATCATGTTTCTGACCCCATTAGCAGATATTTCTGATTCAAGAATGTTTAGATATTCAGGGCTTAAAGTTCTCCGGCACCGTGCTGGATCTCCGGCGTGCAGCGTTTGTCTGCAGAAAAAATAAATAGTTCTACATTAAAAAAAAAAAAAAACTGGTTGATATCGCTTTCGAGTCCATGAGTTCGCCTACCAATGTATGAGAGGAGCACAGCTTTCACTCTCAACCAAACTAACATTACTAGCCAATCAGAATGTTTTGCTCTTATAAACACGAGTCGCGCATTAGTATCCAACTGCAGAGTCGCAGCTGATGAATGGAGAAGCGCGACAAAAAGCTGCGAGGCGCAATGGTCAAATATGTCCATCTAGCACATATTTACACAGAATAACTCATTAAAAAGCAGCGGAGCTTTGTAAACAGCTCAGAGTAATCATGTCATCTCCATAAAACGATAGGATCGCCAGAACAAATTTACCGTGATTTTTGAAAAGGTCCTGTTCTCACATGATGTATTAATGGTAACTTACCGGTGATTTACCAGTAAAGACCGTATGTGTGAAAGGGGCTAAACTCTTCCTCTGCATATGCCGTGAGTTTGAGTTGCTTAATGTTCATCTGGAGAAACAGTGTGCATTATCTCACTAGATTTGTAACGTAAATCATTTATAAACCTTTGCAAACACAGGAGAATACATCAACCTATGTCTAAATATGCCATGTATTGTACATCGCGATTTCAAAATAAAAGTTTCTGCACGTGGCCAAATATTACAATTTATTGGATTTAAACATTGTTTAATCACGCTGTAAAGTGAAACATCACCAGGCCGTTGGCGGCCTCTGCAGGTGTTTGTTTTAATATATAATGTACTTGGTTATGTTCATATGATGTGTAAGCATATTACATTTATGTATTTTAACAGTGCTGTTCAATACAATCATGTAATTTTATTTTTATTTTTTATTTTTGCCAATTATTATTGCCTCATCGTTAGTTTATATATAAATAGTCATGCTAAAGCCTGGTTTTCACTTAGGTCTGTTTGTGTTACTAAAAATATCAGATTACTCTGCTGTCAAAATAATCAGTAGATTACTTGATTACCAAGATAATCATTAGTTACAGCCCTAAATTAGTTAAAATATTTCTAAATACAACTGCATTGTTTTACTTTTTGTAATTAAAAGACAAATATTTTGCCATTGAAAATTTCTTTAAAACAGTATTATAACATTGTCTCGTTCTAGTGAACCAAGTATCTGTATTTCGTCTCATCTCGTGAGCTAAGTGTATTGTCACACCCCTAGTGTCGATAAGCTGTGATAAAACTCATAATTTTCAAAGTGTATAGCTTTCATTCTTCAGGTCAACCATATA